ACCAGCCGGCTACTAGGCAAAAAAGCAAAATGATTATGTTTCACGCTGCGAAATGAGATCGTAGGTGGGGGGTGGGGGCTAAAAAGGATGGGGAGGGACAACGAAACTCACAGCAGGAACACCACTGAGGCCGGCTCCTTGCCATGTCAGCAAGTGTATCCAGCCAAACGTGTTCATCGCCTTTTGGACCCCAACCAGGGAGGCGTGAGGCTCCAACCAAGGTCAGCTTCGAATTGAGGACCTTCATCCCTCTGGGCCAAGTCATCGCTTCGCCACCCCTCCTCTTCTTCCTTTCACACCCCTGGAGAGCAAACAACGTACGTTACGGAAGTCGGTGGGCTGGCATGCGCAACAAGTGGCCCAGCCATCGGAGCCTGGTGCTTGAAATGACAGTGCTGAGCGGTTCAGTCCCATTTTCCGTGCCGTAAACAAGGTGTGGAACCCGCTCGTTATTCACGCGGTGTTCCCACCAGATGTGAGCCAAACTGCGAAGGCACCGATGGTCGAACGTAACTAGCCTCTTTATGTCCGCTGATCTAAGGGGCCAGATTTCGCAAGTGTACATTAAAGTAGAAGGTACCGTCGCATTGTACACTCTACCCTTCAGGGCGAGAGTGATGTTGTGCCGCCGCCATAGGTGGCAAAGGCTAGCAAAAGCACTTCGAGATTTGAATATGCGGTTCCTGATCTCATCTACCATCCTACTAACGCTGATACAACTTCCCAAGTAGTTGAATTTCTGAGCGACTTCTAGCTGATCCCCACCAAGGAGGCGATCACCGCCAATCTTGGAGGAAAGCTTTGCACTTCGATGGTGCAAAGCAAAGTCCGAAGGGGCTGACAGCCAGTGCTAATCTGTCCAGTGCGGATTGGCACGTCTGGGAGCTGTCACAGATGAGGGTAATGTCGTCTGCATATTCCAAGTCAAGAAGTCGTTCTACTGGGAGTAGCTCCACACCTTCCAAGTCATGTCCTGTAAGCTGGTAGTTGTTTCAAACTAGGTACTTAAGCTTCCCAAATGCCGCCACTGCCATCCATACGCAGATATGAAGTTGGTCAGCTGCTGCTGGTCAGCCGGAGTCACACATCCAAGGTAGCAGAAGCGGGAGGCAGTTTCCAATACTTCATCACCAATGCTGATTTGCGGCACCATTGCAGATTCCACCTCTGGTGAATGCTGAAAGAGACAGACAGTGTTGCTTGTGCTGATGGTGAGCCCGAATTTGACCGCTGTCGAAGCCAGAGCACTAGTCATGTGCTGCAACTCATCCGTACCGTGTGCAAACAACGTACAGTCCTCAGAGAACAGCAACAGACGGATAGTTGTCTCACAGACTAGAGTTCTCGCAATGAAACGGGGGATGTTCAACAACTCACCATCAATACCGTGCTCCACACGAACACCGTAAGCACAAGCGACATCAAAAGCACAATACAGCATTGCATGAAGATAAATATTAAACAGGACAGGAGCTGAGACACAGCCTTGCTTTACATCAGAGACAACTTCAAAGTCCTCGGAGGTCTGTCCACATAGTTGCACCCTCGCCCGCATACCACTGTGCAGACTTTCAATTTGACTTACAAACTTACTCGGACAGGCAAACTTACCCAATAGCAGCCACAATGCATTGCGGTTCACCGTATCAAATGCGTTAGTGAAATCAACCAACAGCCAGTACAACTGCTGGTGTCGTTCTGTGCACCTCTCCTGTAACTGCCGAGCTGCAAACACCAAATCGGTAGTGCTGCGATCCGAACGGAATCTACAGTGCCCTTCCGCCACGTTCGGTTCCACCATCTGACTGGCTAGATGGTTGGGCAGGATTCGGGCAATCACCTGGTCCATACAACTCTGCAGGTAGAGATTAAGCTAATTCGTGGCACATTGCTTGTTTCCTTTGCTTTTCTTGTACAGTTGTAACACAGGGGCATCCTTCAGTTCAGAAGGCACATCCTCTTCAATATAGACGCGTTACAATAATTGGTGCAGCGCATTCATCAAAGCGGGTTCGCCGTGTTATAATACCACAGGCGGGATCCCGTCGGCACCGGTACACTTGCCGTTTCGCAGCTGAGAAAGTGCCCTCTGCATGCCATCCAGTGTCGGCGTGTCCGCCAGACTCATCTTCATTTCGTGCTGCTACAGATTGTTCAATGTAGGCCAGGCAATCTTTGAACGATTGTCTCTTGGACAGTCAAAGTGGATCGCCAGATTTGCATATGTCTACAGTCTGTGTGCAAGCAAGGCCTGAGCTACCGTTGATCAGCGTTCTCAGCGATTCCAACCTCGGTCCATACACCGTCTTCAAGGAGTCGAAGAATTCCTTGTGTTGGCGACGCTCGGGGTAGCATTCCTTCTGCCTTTTCTTCGTTGTCTACCATTCAATATTAATGCGACGGTGCTCGCGAGTCAGTCGCCGTCGAGTTCTGCGAAACTCTCTTTTCTTCCGTAGTGAATGGACTCTGCCACATGTGCAGCAGATGCTGCATTCCTCTTAGCCACACATGCGCCAATCGTCGTAGTGTTCTCATCAAACCAATCGGGCCTCTCACAGTTTGAGCGCCTGATGGTCTCTTCGGCAGGAGCCTTCGCTCTGTCGCGAATGGGGTACCACAGGTAGCCCACGGTGGCTATGCAATCCACATCACACAGACGTGCAACCATCGCCTTCTCCAGCTCCATCATCTTCTCCACAGTACCTAGGAAAAGAACGTTATATCTCCAACGGTTCACGGCAATAATACAATACATAGATTTACGATAATAGATGTACAGTTTGGTTCGTTCCAATTAGTGCTCACTGCCACACTGTACTCCACGCAGTGTCACGGAGAATAGCTGAGTGTAGAATTGATCAAGCGTGTCAACAGGATAACACATGGTCGGACCGTATATGCTTACAACAGCTGCAAACGTACCTCTTCCGGGTCATATGCGAACAGTAATCAGTAGCGAGCTGATGTCAGCTGGTTTACCCACCAGCTGGTCATTTAGGCGATCGGATGATACAAATCTGACCCCATGTACACGTGGTGCTGAGGTGGCGTTTCCCACCCAGTAGAACAGATAACCGGCACTTGCCTCATGCAAGTTACCTTGTTTAGCGAGATGGATCTCCCTGAGCGCCACAATATCGATGCCGTAGCGTGCCAGTTTCATCGTGACCAGTGCAGTGCGTCGCTCGGTCCGCTCACTGGAGTGCTGGTCCAGTAGTTTACCCACGTTCCAGCACCCGATGTTGAGTAATTTGTGCGCAGGCGTGCGATTGCATTGGTGGGCAATCGCACGCGTGATTTTAGTTGTGCTTCGGAGGTTTGATTAAGAGACTCAGCCCAGCGCCTTTGGTTCAATAGCCAGATCACAATGCAGTGGGTGACCTGGAGGTTTGTTCGAGTGACTCAACCCGGCGCTTTTGGCTCAATAACCTGGCCCACAAGGAAGTGGGGAGCAGATGCAGCTCGGGAATGTGATTGCGGTAACAGAATGGGATCTGCTTGAGGCCCGTCGAACGCAGCCTTTGTACTTCTGGAACAATGCACATGTGTTTTGCGACGGTAGTAGGATACGTACCTGCGACCACGGCCAGACCAGAAGGGTTTTGACGGGTTTGCAACAATATGACCAGGGGCTGCTTAGCTTGAGGCGAGCGGTAGCAAAACATTGAGCACCAGGAGGTACTCTTCCACTGTCAGAAACAATGTTTGGCGCTCCTGCTCTGCGCTAATCGAACCGTGAGCTTATAACTCGTGCACCTGTTGTCTCTCATGGCTAGGTTTTAAGGGAAGATGGCCATTGATTACCTGACAACATCCGAAGAGGATGGACTTGGATACTGGCAGGACGCCCACACCTGACAGGAGAACGACTAGATGCCTCAGTCAAAACCTTCGATGAAATGGACAGCAGAAATGCAGCGGATTTAACGCATGGTCAGTTCACTGACTAATGCAGATGGAGGTATCCAGGCTCCAATCTAGAAGAAGGGCGTAACCCAACTCTCACATAGCGTTCGTCACGAGTTGGACTAAAACAACTTACACTTAAAATAGATCGTTTTCATCTAGATAGAAGTTATACCGCTTTATTTGGTTTGTTCCATTCTCTCATTCGGCTGCGTATCCTGTGCTAATTTTGCGTGTTCGCTTTTTCGCAAATTCTGGGTTAGCTGTTTGATATCCCCGGTGTGGCCGCGCTGAATGTAAATGTTTCCAAGGTGCCTACCTGTCTAACACCCTACACCTCGATTAGTGGCTCCAGGAGACAATGAATTGTTGCTTGGAGGATAGTGCGCACGTCCTCGTGGACATGTTATGCTCAAAGAGCGGTTCCGTCAAGTGTGGAGCGGACCACGGCCCAGCCACTGCCTATTGAAATTATGGTAGGCATAATTTCCTGCATGAATATAGAGGAATACTGCTGCTGTGCATGTTGAAGGCGTGTGGACGGTCTCCGTTGACGAAACGCCGTTCCCATCTACCTACCTCCCGGTCTTATTCCTTCGGGTTTACTCTGGATATGCGGTGTGTGGATGGAACTGTGGGTGGTACAGCGCAAGCCCCCCATGGTCCTTCTGCAGGCACAGACGTACTTCGGCTGTCCCCGTGGAGACCGCAGTAATGGACAAATCCGGAACCGGATGCCGCCAACCATATATTTGTGCTGGCAGTGACCTTAGTACAAGCATTCAGCAGCTTTGCTTAAGATAACTGCTGATAAGATAACTGCAAATAACTGCATAACTGCAGGATAGTAGCGCATTATGCTGCAGTTATTTCCACAACTATGAGCGTTTTTTCTACTCCGACTGCTGTGCTACCACATTCAGAGCGGCAATTATGCACTGGTTTCAAAGTGAACTAAGATTTGTGCACGCATATAAACATTCGTCTATAGTTCATAACCTTTATTTGGGTATACAAACCAGATCGGATCACTGTTCCATTAGACACTGGTATTAAGTGGTTCGATTGACCGCAGCGCTCCATCGGTAGCTTACCTTCATGTTCTCGCCAACACGTATCATGTTGGACCTTACGCTCGCCTCATTCGTTGCACATTCCAGCTGTTCAATATCTACCGGTTGCAGCTGATGGAGATCGCATCTCGGAGTAACTAGTCTGGGACTCCAGTCTTCATAATTGGCTGATTTTAAAGGCGTAGAGACCGAACCATCTGAAGGACATGCAATAGGTGGCGTTCTGGGACGATTGATTGGAGGAAGCGCCACTGGGGTCTTCTTCCAGTGGGGCGGTGCGGAAGGAACACAACTCTGGGAAGAAACGATGCGTATGTACAAGTAGTTGTATTACTGGAAATTCTGTTTCGGTCTGCTTATGCTTTGAATTATATGCAAACCGGATAATAGGTGCAACATTGGAGGTGAAATTTTATCCTCGGTTACAAGTTTCGGTGTGCTTGAAGTTACATGACGAGCACCATTTATTATGCATGCTATCTCAGAACACCCTCAGACTCCCAGAGAAATGTCCCGTTCCTTGTGTCCTAGGTCCGAAGATACATCTAGAGTTTGCGAAACAAGGATAGCCTTGATTAGTTAAATTTATAAGATTATATTACCAAATGCCTAGTGAATTGCTAATTAGATGCCAGATAAATATTTCCAACTTTTTCTTCTCTTAGTAGGGTTGGTATGTGTTTAATACAATTATTTTGATTTCTGTAAATGCTTGATATCAACAGATTTATTAAGGTATGGAAGCAACTGATTACTTACACTCCTAGCCGAGGAACAAAGGCTAATGATTGGTCGGATCTAATAACATGCGTCCCCCAAACTCGCTCCTTAGCTTTCCGACTGAACACTTGACTGCACAGCAAACAGACTGCAACGGGCATTAGAGACGTTAATTTTGTTACAAAATAGTGCACAAAGCTAATTAACTGTGAAACCTGTTTACTGTACAAATGATTACTCCCTCTTATGGGGCTGTGTACCGCTTGTCGGTAAATATACACATTTATTCGTTTATTTAGTTAAAAACGTATATTTTGACTGCATTCCGGTATACCTTGGCAAAATCCTAAGCACAAATACTTGCTGCTTGGATCCTACACAAGATAAGCTTGTTTCCGTGACAGTATCCCAGTCAGAGATGTTAGTAGACATGGCACAGCGGCGCTCCTACTCCATAAGATTTCCTGAACCCAATCGTTAATATATCAGCCCTGTTAATTTTACTCACTTCTCCCAACTCCCTTTTCCCTGCTTCCTTTTTGAGTCTTGCCACAGTTTTGTAAAATGTTATCCAATTTTTATCCTTTCGATTCCAGCCGTAAGTGTTGGATCTACCGCACTTCGGTGCTCGTATCGAAGTTGTTTAACTGAACTGATCCATCTTTCAAGTAAAACATGGACTCACAAAGAGTCGCCTAAACTAGGTGTATAAGCAGGTGTATAAGCTAAAAAAGCACTGCTGTCCTCCCCTTTCGTCTCCGTGGTTTGTGTGACATACATATCGAAGAATAACTGCCTACCAGAGCAACTACTGATCCGTTGGCTCATCATTATGGTCAAAGTTTGACACATAAATCTGTCAACCACGATTTCAAAGCATGGGGGGTGAACACAGTGTCTGTGTTTTGCCGTCACCTGATGGATGCGTGTCATGTCACGTAACGCAGATATTGTAATGCGTCGTCCAGTCGCAATTGTCTTCCAATTCTGCTGCGAAATCCACTCTGCGAAAACAGTATTTCTGAGACAGGTTTAACCTATAACCGCTCAATACAACGGCTGACACCTAAAAGTACAAAATAGAGCTTTTCCGTATGTCTTTAGAATCCCTCTAATATTCATTGTTCACAGAAATAGTGTAATACAACGTGTGGTACGAAACTTTCCGACTCAGTGTTTGGCAGCTGACTAGCATCATTCCTTCTGACCATATACTATGTTGGGTGAACCCTAACCCAGTTTCCTCAATGGGATAAGGAATGGAAAATACATCGACATGTTAAGCTCAAGGTTTTCTAATCCAATCGAAGCTTGAGAAGGCGCATCATTGAATTCTTGCCCTCACACAAAATGTTGTCACGTCGATACTCGAATTTCCCAATAGAAGCTATTCTGTTCACAGGACGGATGGAAATAAAAGCTATCACAGTCTCCCAACAAGAGATTCCGCGTAGCTCCTCGTTGGTACTTTGCTCTGCCATGCATGCCTCAACCATTAACTCATTACCTGAATACAAACGGAAGTGATATTTTCATTTCCTCTTGTTTCTATTTCTGCCGTATCTAAACATTTAATTTAGCAATCTCTGCGCTGAATCCGTTTTACATTGCAGGAGGTATTTTCCAGCGATGCACATGCTCTCAGTGTATTTGAATGCAATGTTACTAACTTTCACTTTGACATAGTCGTTAAAGATTAGCAGTTTCCATCTGAAATCACCTTACGTAAGCGCCAAAAAGTAGTCATGATCAAAGCTCCACTAGAGACTGAGACTGTATTTAAGAGCAAGTAGAAAGGTTTCTGTACAACTCTATCGAATTACGAAAAATCAAAATTTACTTGTGAATTATCAGCAGTTGTGTCTGGTCCGTTAATCGTTTATCCGTGTTCGGTTAGAAATTTGTACTAGCGTCATTTTTTACGGACATACAATGTCTTCTTTTGGCATTGCATGTGCATCGTTTCACAAAAACACAGGTTTCCAAAATAATCGTCGATACGGGTTTTAAAACACTTCACAGAATCGGCCTCTATTAATCCTTCTGGTAGTGTATTCCATAAGTTTACGATTCTTCGTTCGATACAAAGCTGATGTGATACTTTGTTCATACTGGGGACCCTGAGTTTGTAACGATGTCCTCGGGTGTTACAGGGTTCTCGCAGGTGAAATATTGGCCGTAATACGGGGAAGTGATTCAAGTGTAGTACTCGATGGGTCATAATAAGATCAATTCTTACTCGGCGATAGGATAGTGTGTAGAGTCCGAGCTTTTCACAACGTTTTTCGTATGGAAGCTTTCGTAGACTTGGTATCATTCTAGTTGCGATGTGCTGTATTTTCTCCAGTTTTTCAGTTTCCCATTGGGTTATCGGATGGTAAGCTGGGGCACCGTATTCAAGGATTGGTCTAATTAGCGAGGTGAATAGACGAGGGACGGTTTCTTCGGACCATGTGGAGAAACTGCGTCTTAATGCCCAGAGCATACGAAGTCCCGCACGGTACAATTTCTCTGTATTTTCTAGTGATCTTAAATCACGTCGTGAGAGAACTCCTAAGTCTTTGACAGATGTGTTGGGATGGAGCAACTGGCCGTCCAAGGTGTATGATCGAGTGGCTGGACGTCTGGTAATACTGATGAACTCCGACTTGCTTGCGTTAAGAGAGAGTTGCATTTCAGTGGACCACGTTGACAGTCGCTCTAAGTCATGCTGGAGGCGAGCGCAGTCGTCCTGGTTTTCAATGATCCTCCAGATTTTCAAATCATCTGCAAACAGGACACATGGTGACTGGAGCTGCTGCGGAAGATCGTTGATATGAATAAGAAATAATGCTGGCCCAAGTACAGTTCCTTGAGGCACGCCACTGGTCGATGGGAACCATTCTGTCAGATAGTCATTGACCTGTACTCTAAACCTTCGTCCCACAATAAACTCTTGTATCCACTGAAGTAACGTGCCACCGATTCGGTATGTCCTCAGTTTACGAAGGAGTACCTCGTGGTTCACTCTGTCAAACGCCTTACTAAAGTCGATGTACACCACGTCAACATCCTTCTGTTCATTGAGAGCTCGAACCCACTGGTGGTTTGCATACATCAAGTTGGTGATGCAGGATCGCCCTTTCGTAAAGCCGTGTTGCGCTGGCGTCAATACGTCCATCGATTCGAAGAACGATAGCAGACACTTTTTCACAACCTTCTCGAGAACTTTGGATAATACCGAAGTCAAACAGATCGGTCTATAGTTCTCTATTTTACTCGGATCACCACCCTTGGGAAGCGGTTTAACTATCGAGCATTTCCAGTCGTTCGGGACGGATCCTTCAGAGAGCGATCTATTGAAAAGGTTTGTCACAACTGGTGAGATGATAATCGATAGGGACTTGAGTATTAGTGGGTGAAGTCCGTCTGGCCCGGGGGGCTTTGCACCATTGAGGTTGACGAGTAGCTGATGTACTTCGACTGCATCACATTGTAGGCTGTCGAGCAAGACTTGCGCAACCTGTGCCGATACTGGAACAGCCGCCGGTTTACTGGAAAATACAGTGAGGAAGTGCGTAGCCAGGGCGTCCGCGCGCTCCGCGCTTGAAATGAGTGTCTTCCCGTCTAAGCTCTCTAAGACCGGTAGGTCGTCTCCAGGTTTCAGTTGACGTTTCAAGTAGGCAATTATTCGCTTGGGTGCAGTTGCGGCCGAGGATGCTAGCTCCTCTTCGAACTGCCGGCGTTTCTTGATCTTTGTGGCGTTACATAAGTTACGCTGTTTCTTGTACACCGCGTAATCTTCATCACAACCCGAGCTGATGTATCTATCCCAAAGTTTACGACGTCGTCGCGCTAACTGTCTGTATTCCCTATCAAAGCAATGCGGTTTGACAGGTCCGATTTTTGGATACTTAAGGGGAACGAACCGAGTACAGAGCGAGTTAAGCTTCCCCTTTATTAATGACCACCACGCCTCAAGTGACGCATCCTGTGGTAGTGTCCAATCAGTCTGACTTGCGGCTTGGACGAGTCCGTTGAAGTCCGTCTTCCAATAGTTGAATGTCGGCTTCTGTTGATTGTAATATGGTAAGGACAGTTCTAAGCTTGCTACAATAGAGCAGTGGTCACTGTTCGCCAGAGGTTCGATGACTCTGATCTCTTTTAGCTTCTGCTCGCAGCTCGTAAACATTAGGTCCAGACAAGATGCCGAGTATGGAGTTACGCGCGTCGGTTGGATGACATGTTGCGTTGCCCCAATTTCAATAGTCATTTTAGCGAATTGAGCCTCAACGTTGCCATAACCGGGAAGAAGTCGAACGTCTGGCCAAATAATCTTAGGTAAATTAAGATCTCCCATCAGTAAGAACTGAGGGCGGCTCATGTGCTTCTGATTTAATCTTCCGCATAGACAGAAATGAAAATTAGCATAAGAATTTCTATAAGTACATTCACCTAAAATCACGTCCTGCGGCCTGTACTTGCATCATTACCATCCTAAATATGATGGTTTTATATAGATGTTGTAGCGGTTGTGATACATTATGTTTTATCGTTGTTCTTATCAGTTCCGTTGCCGAACATTTGGTACAATT